CATGGCGCATGTCATATTGATCGCATCTTTTTTCGAAACCTCTTAAGTGTGTAAATCAGTATAGAATCCAACAAGAATATATGATTATAAGTGCTTTTTATATGTATGATCACTTAAATGTTGTTAGGATACGGAAAATGCAGGGCCCGTCCTGTTAACGCACACTCGATGGAATATGATGCTGTTTAGTACCATGCCCGGTAGACATTTTATAGTTGCATGGAAAACAAGCTATTAAAAAAACTATGGAAATTAATGATCTGATCGCTCGGAAACGATTATTGTTTCAATATAATATAGATACAGCTTTATTGTCGGTAAATGATGCAGAAATATACTGATCTTAAATTTCGTAAATATGGGGACAAAAAGGAGTTTGCCTAAAAATAGGATTGTTAGATTTGAAACATCTTAATGGCACTCGACAGTCAATCTTTCCTTCTACAAGCGTACGATCTTCTGTCATTCTATGTACGGAAATGATGGTTTTCCGTACCATTCGGTCCGTGATTTTGAAACACGGTAGTGACTGAGTCCACTGGATTTTTCATATTTAAAGGATTGAAACGTAATGTTGAAAACTTCAGGAGTAACGTTTCACTTTAAGCTTACTTGTCAAATTGCATTGTGCACAACTTATTTAAGTTGGTCAATATGACTTACGCAGTGGCTTACGTGCACTGAGCGGAGCACAGTTCTTTTGAACGCTTCAACTTGTGGGGCCTGTTTCTAAGTTTGTTCGAAATTAAAGCATAGCCAGTAAACTTTGTCAGAATCGCGAAGCCGCTTCATGTAGCAGAACAAAGAGATCATTTTTAAATTATACCCTCAATGACGCATGGCCGAACAACTATACGGCATGTATAAAGCTTTTTCAATTGTCTTCGCCATACGTGAAAAATGGTAGCAATGCGCGGCTCGGTCTGTGAAACGATGTATATGAGATATCTGTAGAACAGGGTATTGCAACGAAGTGTCCCCAATTAATTTCCAGAAAAGCAGTGACCTCTTTGTTCTCGTAATCAGCTTTATTTCAGCCAGCTTCGAACATATGCCTTCACGACGGATCACCATATTAAAAATGCACCATGAAATCAAAACACAAAGCCATCGTGCCAGATGACTAAATCAAGAATATATACGCTCTAGGACACGTAAGATCGGATGAAGTGAATTCAATATTATAAAATTAAAAAATAACTTTTTTTTTCAGGGATCTAATAAGTCCACCTATAATTTCTTCAGTTGATTATTTAAAGCGTGAACATTTTAAATTTCTCACAGTAATCACATGGCTCTGTGTTTCGTTCATCATATCAAGCACTGAAGTTCTGCCGCGCTTTTAAGTCGTCATCGTTACTTTTCTGAGCAAATACGTGACGACTAGGCGAAACATGACAAGAGGATTCATAATGCCAACACAAACCCTTTCGGATGAATTTCGGTTTACAATAACCTGAATCTACAAACGGGTTCCATAAATAAAAGATGGTCCCTCACACGTCCGTTTCCTCTAAACAGCTGCTTTCGCGTAGAATACACTCAAAATCTGGTAGTAGTTCTTTGTTTTTTTTTTTTGCTGAAGGTACTGTATAGAAGCTGTAGTCCTTTGAGGGGCAACACTATAAAAGTTCATGATTGCGTTCCACATTAGGTGGCCTCTCTGATTTTCCTTTCTTACACTTAAGGATCATATATTTCTTTAAAAATGTCAGCTAAAACAGTGCCAAAAACCTAAGTTCAATAGCTGGCTTTCGTCTTCAGAAACTGAATTTTGTTAAAAATAATAAAGTATAATAATTTTCTAATATTATATAATTATTCCTAAAGCCATTGAAATCGATCACCACGTCCGAAACTAATCTTGAATCGTTTCATTTCTTCTTTACTTTTAGAGTTAGATTCAACAGATGGGTTGAATATCAAATATTGTTATGTTTTTTTTTTTGTTGACACCCAGCAATCTACCTCGGTGGGTCTACATAATTAGGTCTTCTCTCACTGTAAGTGGATGCAGTAGTCGTTTTCACCATCATTGGCACAGTCAAGCGTCCGACAGAAACAAGTCATGAATATGTAGGTTCGCAGTGTGTAGAAAGTAGGATTTGATGCCGCCAGCTTCCAAGTCTACAGTCCTCACATTTGACTCTTAATAAATGAGAAGTGGCTAAAGGAACCTTAGAAATTTGAAATTTAAAACAGTAAAGGAAAGTGAATTAGTTGCTGTCTGTTTTTTTGGACAACATAAATAAACGTATACGTACCTTATCAATATCTACAAATTAATCCTGTAATGCAGAAGAATTTTCGCTTACGTTCGTTCGCCTTTTCTACGTGCTTCAGGTAAAAGAGTCTTAATTTTTTACGTACAACACACAATAGTTCACGAAATGCTGGAAAAGATTCGTGAGAGGTTCTGCCTTAATTCCGACTGCAAGCAGGATTTTTCACTAGCACTGAACGGTATTGTGAGGTCCATGCAGCAGCGCGAATCGGCCTGTGTACCACCAGAGGGAATTAAATTGAGTATGCCTCAATGGTCAGTCTATTGTTTCCGATAAGGGTGCTTCTTCTCTGTTGTTGCCCCTTTATACTTATTTGATTCCTCTTTGCGGGAAGCACGAACCTAGGAAGCTGACGCGGCTCATGGGAGCTGTGTAGTCCCCTTCGACCCTGCAGCTTTATCCCAAGCTGCTTCTGAAGAATGCACCGGTTCACTTCACATACTACGCTTGTGGAGTCCTGGTTACCTTCCAGCCAACCTCGCGTAGATGATGCTTTGGATCGCCTTGTTTTGCAAATCCTTATCAAACTGACAAGACCGTTTGATAGCCTGCGTGCAGCATAGAAAGCAACCAGGCGATTTAGCTGCGTCTCCAAATCTACACTTGAAGTTGGTCCGCGAAAGGAAGGGATTCAGTACTTCGGTATTTATGATATCTCAGTGGCCTCCTTGTTTGAAACAAGAGATCGTACTAAAGGACTGTTTCAATGTCGTGCCTTTACCGCATTTTACCGATAGCAATGCAACATCGACTTTGGCCCCACGCAATGTTCGTATGTAAGACAAACTTCGCCCTCTTCGTGCTTCCATATAAAAATATTCCCTGCGAAATGCATGCGTTGTTCCGATGTGAAGGTATATTCCCATCGCAGCGCTGAAATTTATCTAGCCTATGACTCTTAGTTCCACTTAGAATATGGTTGACTGACTATCGGGAAGTATACAAACTTGTTCTTTAAAAAAAAGTTCATCTTGCTGGGTCGAAAACACACACATATTTTTCTTCAGATCATTAAGTCGGCCTTGTACCAGGCGCGGTTAGATGATTAAAATTACCTTTTAAAAAAGTGATTAATAATCGCAAATACGTCGCAGTCCTTTGACAAAGCTATAGACTTTCTATTCAGTTCCCTGCATGTCCCATTAGGTAATAACCAGAAGGGATTAGAAAAGGAAGCGTGCATGTACTGCGAATTACTACGCTAGCGCGCTTATATAGTATCTATTTACTGTATCGCATTAAGAACAGAAGTAGAACTCCATACGATATTATGTTCGTAATGGCTTCTATGCAACATCGGCAAGCAAAAAAGCTTTGCCCAAAATAAAATAATAAGATTTTGATGTGTAATATATAGCGTAAGAGGTACTGCGTAACAGATTTAGTGCAACATTTTCCTCTCCTTCGACAAATATACATTTCCGTCGATTAGAGAAAAAGAAAATCCCTCGTTCGTAAAAATGTTCATCCTAACGTTTGAGAAGTGAAAGTAAAGCATATGTGAATTGAGTCTCTCTAATGGTTGGTCATCAAAAGCGTTTTGAAAATTTAAGAGTAAATGATAACCATAGGATGTGAGGACAAATATGGTGGGTGTGCCAAAATAATCCCGTTTCAGCTCCGTAATGACGTCCCGGATCATGCTGTCGATCTGCCCGAACATCCTCCTGCTTAAGGATAACACCGTTTTTTTATTAGGTAGAAGCTGGGTTGACCTTTGTATAAAGCAGACGCCACCCTTACAGAACAGATTTGTCTCACAACATGTGGATTAATTTCAGAAGGTCATAGGAAACGATTCGTTTATTGGTTCACCAGTTATTTAATTGAAGCCTTTTTGCTATGGATGTGCCAGGACAGGCCTGTTTTTTGCTGCTCAATAGTGTCGCCTCGCTGGCTTGTCGAACTGATGCCCCCTCCTGTCGCCAGCCACAGTCAAACTGAAAAGAAAACTAGAACTTTCCTTGCAACAAATTCATAAACGTACGTTTTTTGCTTGTCTGTTAGTAATGCAGTTTCCAACTTAGTGTACTTTTCCATTGGCTGCTTTCTTAAAAAGGCATTTTATATAGCCAATTGTCCAACCGTAACAACAACGCCAATCGAGATGTTTTCATCGGGCCTTGATTTTGTCTCACTATTTCTAAGCAAGGCGAGCCGATTGACTTGCGCTATAAATATTCCTGAGATCAAAACAAATCCTGAAGAAAGCTCTCTGTAAGCACGATATAGCTGAGTCACCAGAAAGCAGTAGAAATTTTAGTGTACACAATGTCTTCGGGTCTGAACTTGGAGAAGAAATTTGCATGAACTTTTTAAAAAAGGTCTATTTCTCTACCCACGGGTCTTTTTCATTAACAACCGCATCCAGAAGATTTAGCCGCTACAGATAAGAGTCCTTTACACAGCTGGCATCGTTCATGACTTACTGGTACTTCAGCGGGGAGATTAAAGCACAGACAACCCTGTGTCGTCTCCGGGCATAGTTGACTTTCTATGACTATTATTTTTGTATAAAACGATCATCTATTTCAGATGTACTGCAAGATGATGCTGACCGGATGTTGTATCTGGGTGATTCTCTTTTCGTTAATTTATTATTTACAAACCTACGGTATATGGGCAAATCTAAAGTTACAAGAAAGCGCATATCATATAATGTATTTACAGCGACAATGACTGATGTATATAGATAGTATTATGGAAATTTCTAACCTCAGCAGGGAACTGTTTGCTAGCGATAGTATGCTCGGATCCCTGGTCGTCTGATTTTCCGTAATGCAAGTGTAGCTCATAGAAGCGGTAGCCGTAAGAGAGCGGGCCTCCTCGGATGAACACAGCCGGCTCGGATTCTGAGTCTGATACCCGGAACACGATTCCGTGACCCGTGTTCACTAAATTTCCACTCACCTAATTCAAAAACAAACGAATCCACATAAAATAAGACGAAGATATATATATATATATATATATATATAATGACTGAAGGTATCATGGATGATCTTAGTACTCGATGTAAAAATAGGCACTGAATAAACTGTCGATAACAAACATTCGCTGCATAATAAATCTAGACGCCGAGTAAGTGACCGCGTTGGTCGTAGCTGAAACAATATAAAAAGCGTTTATATTCGCGACTTGACTTCAAATATAGGTGTAAATATCGACATTCAATTGAACCTTGCACAAAGAAGACTACTGATGAAAGGAGTTTGTTCCAGGGCATACGATACCGGATCACGTGTCCTAAATGTTGTATACTGGAAAATAAGTGTTCGCGGAATTTATGCATTTCTGTGGCCATGATTGACATGCGGCGTGGTGAGACCTGCATTTTAGACACCACCTCTATTTTGGGTGCTTTGAGGCCACAAACTATTAAAAGCAACTCGGGAAATCCGGCGGAGGGCTCAAAGGGCCAATCACGACTTATATGCTATGTCCAAGAAAGGTATCATCGATATAGGAGACACGCCTCCTTGGCCGATCCTTTGAATAAAAATGACTATCAGGCAAGCAGTGAAATGGCAAAGAAAATTCACTGTGACGGTATAAAGTATACCCGCAAGAGGAGAGTGTCGTTCCTTCAGGGCACATACAAATCGAATGAATAGCCGATCACCATTTTCATTCACAAAATATGATTTACTTGAAGTTACAACTTCTAGTTTTCAGTTCGTCTAACAACCATCTTCCTCCAACGGTGCGTCGCGCAGGACGTAAACAGGCCCAGAATGCCAACATAAAAAGCATGCCGTTTACCTATACGAAAAGGCACCGCCGCTTATGCAATCTAAAAAAATCTGCTAAAAGCCAATCATTGGTTCGAGAGCTTTTTTGTTTGAGAAATAGACAAGGGTAGAAAACTCATCTTCGACGCTTAATCCCGACAGACGAATACCTTTTACCAGTTTAAATATCTTGCCATTAATATTAATGTTTAAAGAAGAACGATTAGGAAAAAGCACGTAACTCCCTATAACTTCCTCGAGCCACCGGCAGAATAGAACATACATTAATGAATCACGTATTTACAACAGACATAAACGAGCAAAAATGTATTTCATGTAAATAATTTACAGCCCATCTGCTTGACTACAACCTTTTGATCAAACATTATAAGATATTAACGATAAATTTGAGAATCAACAAAATCTCTTGCTCAAATGGTAATTTGTATTTACTGCATGGAATCTTTTAACGTTGTAGCAACTTAAAATGAATGATCACTTAATCTAGTAAAGCTAGTACATAAAATCTATGTATCCAATCGTTCTCCAGCTGAACATCTAGCCCGTTTTAAGGAAAAGATGGTTTAAAAATACTGATGTGTATTTGCAGAAACGATGATTCCGATGTGAATTATGGATATTACTTGGCTTACTCTTGACTTGATCTATCCCTTACAAGTCATCACTACAGAACCTATAACATACAACCTTGGTTGTTAAAAAGCGTTAGTCCGTAGTCTGAACGTATCTGCTACAAAAATGTCGGACAGTTAAGAGACTCCTTTCGTTATCGATGTGTCTTATACATAATAGTAAAGCTAAACGATATCTTAAGCACGATTTGGATAACACTAAAGAGTCGTCTAAAGAAAAATCATTTTGCCAAAAACAGCATAAGAATAAATTGACCCCAACGAGAGATGGCCTTACCATGTAGTTTCATATGCTTATTTAAGCTAACTCCCAAATCGACGCTAATTATCGTACTGTCCAAAATATTTTTTAGGACAGTGCATTTGAGGACAAATGTTGAGCTGTCGAAAAAGTATCAACCGTTTTTAAGCAATAATTGGGGAAACTATTTTTCATATTACAAACTAAGTAGACGCCGTTTTAATCGATAATTTACAGCTAGTTTTTTGATAACACCATGATCTATGGTGGTGGTATGAGCTATGGAACTTCTGTGCTTTCTGGGTGAGAAATTGTGACAAGTAATTTTTGCATCCCTCTATTAAAACCAGATCGACACCATTAATAGAGATCTGCAAAGGCCGAAATACGTGATTATTTGATGACGCTAGATTTAGGCGATACGGCAGATGCATTTCTTATTCGACTTGTTCCGATTTTCCAGGTCCGGCATGGCCATAGTAGAAGACGACTCCCTCTCCGGCTGATTTTTGACAGTTGAGGCCTAAAATAATCGTTTCGTTAGGGGATAGCAACTCATAATGCACGATTTCTTTTCAATCCCGTCAAAAACATAACATCACCCGCGTGATGAATGAGCTTTGCCACAGACTGTAGAGTATTTTTATCTCTTTCTTTTCTTTTCTTTTATATATTGCTCTCATATGTGATCCATTTCACTTCGCTGCGAGCGATCGCTGTGGGCCGATTGGAGCCCATAGACTTACAGAATGGAAATAAGATCAAATACATTTTTTTTATTTGATCTTGAACCTTTTTGCCATAAGTTTCTTTTCTAAATGTATTGAAACTATTTGGTGACAAACAGTTAGCTTCTTCGTGGCCACTTTTGCGTCAGTTTTACCCGATATTGGCAATGGTTTTATCATCCTTTTGAATAATTGGTCATTCGTCACATTGAAATTTCTAGAACGAAAGTGACAGAGATATCTGTGCGTCTATTCTTCTGGTAATGCATTTTAACCACGAACGACAACATTTTTTGCGGACCTTAGCATCATTTGTCACGCTACCACAGCCTAATTGTAAAATATAGCGAATTTATTGCGAAAATCTAAGGTAAGGGCATTACTAACAATTTTAGCACCCTATCGCTGCCGTAAGGTTTCGAACGGAATCAATGCCCACCTGACGCGAGTCATATGATCTCAGATACGTGTCCTGACCAGCGATCTAAATAGAGAAACAGTATATGTTTTTTCGTACACTAGAACGAAATGCATTCGATGCTGTTTAGACTCCATGTGTACGTTTACTTTGTGTGATAATTATATGTATTTTAAGATTGTAGGCATATATTTCATCCTGCCTTGGTCTCATGCGAAAATCGCATATATACCTGGACATATGCCCTAAAAATCTCGAACGTCCTGTTTGCTCGGTCAAAGAAGGTATTAACACAAAGGATCGGTTTGGAACAAACAATCGACGATCAATCTCGGATATGGGCAGCTTCTCAAAAATAGAATGGTCGTTAACTCTGTCGAATGCTCCAGAAAAATCGAAATACACTAGATATAGAAGTACGATACAGACTAGTGGCAGCATACTTCTAGGAGCTATATACGTAAGCCGCTCTTTTTCAATGTATGCAGTGGAGAGCTAAGCACCGCATTTAACCGTCGTTTTCGTATCAAAATCAATTATCGTTTTCGTGATAAGCATATCTCAGCAACACGCCTGTGACTTGTTGGCGATGATCGCAGTTTCTGAATAGTAACAGAACAAGTAAAATCCTTGAAACTGCCAGTAAAAATAATCTATTTCAATGTTCAACTCAATATCATTAAGGTAGTCTGTATGTAAGTTATAAATCCCCACACCTGGTTAGATGCACATGTTTCTAAAGCATGTACAGGGCTGAAAAGTGGGCTGAGATCAGACACGAAGCACAGTACATATCTCGCTCAAACTTACTACTGGCTGAACGGGTGTTTAAGCTGTACCATACTCCCTAAAAGCTCCATAATAGCACTTAGATTGATTACACTGGTTGATTTTCATTGATTTTTTTTGAGAATAATTGCAATTTGTATTGCATTTTCATTTCGGTGTATAGTCAGTGTCACAGTATGGAGCAGTATGCAAGTTTTAATCAATCTAGTACATCGAAGTATGCCTGAAAAATGACGTTGAAACAATTGTTTGAGCCTCATGTTTCTGTGCGTTACAGTCATCATCACGCTCGCTCTAAGGCTTTTTGGAGTATCTTAGTCATATTAATCAAATTAATCCAACATTTGAGAACATGAGGTGGCGCCGGTCTTTTTTTCAGAGGACATATTTGATTTAGCGTTTTCGATCTTCACGATCACGGGCAGTACTGAGCTGACATCGGGGATTTGCCATAAGCATTTCGTGGAGCCATAGTTCAACAATTTTTGCTTTTTCTTTCCGTGTTTTGTTAGTACCATCACAGACAACTAGCTCGAAAGCGCTGACATAGCCAATACATTAGCTAGTACTTGGAAACTTTCATTAATTAACTATGTGATCAATCATCAAAGACTAGAAAGAAAGGTAGTAGCGAATTGATCTGCTGTTAGTTTCGATTTGAGCAGAAATATATGGTGGATACTAGTCTATTTGGACTAAGTCGGATGCTGGCTTGAGCTGAGATATCCTTTCATTAAACTTTCGCTAAACTGAACATGGGAAGTATATGTATGTATTAGAAGCAGCAACAGTAGCATAATAGCCATGAGGGGGTTATAATACGGTGTTAGATTTAAATCAGTGTTTCGTACACGATATTTTATGGATCTTCGGATGAAAAGTGTCTGATCTCAGTTTACCTCCTTTTCCGATATATATATATATATATATATATATATATACTAAGAACGTCCAATCTACTCTAATTATTATTCTTTTATTCGCGAAGCCTTTGAGGTTCGATCTCCAAGTATCTTTTTAAAACCGGTTGCGTAACTCTATCAGTTTTGCGTTATTTTAAGCGATTTTGTATAAGTTCAGCATCAGTTTCATAAATAATTTCACGAATACAGCGTTTCGAATCGTGGATCGTTTTCGACATCGTCTTATAGACTCTATCGCTTACAGGAAGAGTTCGAGAGGAGTCAGATCACGGGACCGAAACCTTGTATCACCGCCGTCCTTAAACATGAGCCTAACCGTAAGATCTGGAAACATGATTTCAAGCAGATTCGTTACTTCCCGCTCGGGATGGTCGCCCTACTGAAATCAACTTAGTTTACTCACATAGCCGTTCGACTGAAAATGATGAGCTTCAATGAGATTAAGGAAGATAACGTGATCAATGAGGTCGCTAGCACACGCCTTGTGCTGCAGCAAGTTATCGGCGAATAAACGACCTTTGTGATAGCGCTGGATCTTCATCCGTAAAGTCTATTGTGAGGGGGGAAAGTCTATTGTATAGGGGGTGAAAATACAGTTCATGCTTCAAAATGAGCCGCCAAGAGCTCTTTGCTTCGCCGAGTTGTTCCCTATGATATCCTATTAAAGTCTATATTGCAGCAATGCTATGAGTTTTTTCATTTATTCGCGCATCCGAAAATAGGGGGCGTCACGAACTTTGCGGTGCCTGGTTGATGCTAATTTGACTGCTAGTCACTGCCATGAGCCAAGACGTCACTTCATTGGCGACGTTTAAAGGGCTAGCGTGTGAAGACAGGACGAAATTCAGCAAGCAAAAGTCGAGAGTTTGAAATATACAAGTAGATATAATGTTCGTTAGCACATTGCAGTATTGAACTGTCTTCTGAGGTGGATACAATTATAATGTGACACAATATATACATGTGAAAGTATGTAGTCCGCAAAGGACCTGTTGGTCAAGTAATTTTCTTTAAATTACATAATGCACTCAAATCTTGATTGTAACCGTATTATTATATTTTTTCTCTGATAAGATGGCTGTGTTGCTACAAATGTGTACTTGTTATTTACATTAATTTAGAAGTTACATTATATTGAAGAATCTCTGCGAAGTTCGCAACGCGAGCACTCTAAAACTTGGTCAAATGACACGGTTGTCTTGCAAAGGGCTTCAGTCTATTTCAGTGAACGCTGCTACAACAGAAACTACGATATTAAGATTTAACAAATTCGGCATTTAATCCATAGTTCAAGTCTTCAACTTAACATATCATTAGTAGAACTGATTTGCGGAAGAAACTTAGTTTTTTCTAGCTTTATTAAAATGGACTTGCTCCACTTTCCATCGAATCACCTTTTAAAGTGCCCGTAGCTTCACACAAATTAAACCCACAATGACTATAGCCAAAACTCCTGAAACATTTGAAAACAGAAGCAAATCTCTTTTTCCGGCTATGACCACATACACACGCAAAGCGAGTATCATTTTCTGCTTTTTTAGTTTATTTTTTTCACTAATTTACGAATAAGGACTTCTGCTTTCAGGACCAACTTAGACCTTACAAAGAGGAGAATCTGGATAAAGCCCAGTAATTTTTTCGTCGCAATTAGGCTAATAACGAATGCACGACAGAGAGTGGGAACTGAACATTAGATAAAAGTTTGACCTTAACGTCCACCTTTACGTCTTAGTCGGACGATAGGGTGATTAATCTCAGCGTCACGGATTGACGTTTTTTCAAGCTATGACATTGGGCTTTTATGATACCTAAACTCGAAGAGCCACATCCGATGATTACAAGTAAACGTTGATGTCAAAAACTCCTATTATAAGTTTTTTTCGTTTGTTTTCTTCCTGTTGCGATTGTCTTGGTCTTGTCCACTAACTTAACATTCAGGTTTGGTGTGTTTTTGACAGCAAATTCTAAAACGCAAACACGACTGCAAACCAATTAGCTTCACATTCGTCTTTCCCTAAAACGTATTCTTTGTTCACTTGGAAAAATCACCTCTGTGTATTTCGCATTTGATCGCAAGAATCCAGCTGTGCCGACCAAAGCTAGCTCTAAGGAAATCGGGTCAGAGGCTAATATGAGGAAGAAAACGTGAGGGCACGAATGAGGCCAGAGAATTGAAGCGCAGTTATGATGAAGTTAATGGGAACAAATTTGTTAGCAAAGGAAAGCTTCAGTGTAAGCTGCTCGGGGGGTCCGATCGATTCGGATGAGTTCGGTGGGTGACATTGCAGAGCCTTCCGTTCTCAAAACGAGATCTGAAGTTGATTTATATAGAAATCCACCTACTAGTGGCTATCTATACGTAATAATAATAGGTTCAACAAAGAGAAAAGACTTCTGATGTCTCGTCTCTTTGAGGAGATCACTGCAGCGTTCTGCGGTTTACCTCCTTAAACAGGATTTTCTCAAAGTTGGCTTTGAAAAATTAGAAGCATTCCAAGAATAATGGTTCAAGCAAAAGCAAAATAAGTAATCGGAAGAGTATTGTTTACACATCTTAAGGTTTCGAATCATAATTTAAGAATCCGGCTATACCCATCCACTTTGCTTATAAAATACGTAATGTAAGCCTAAATTAGATTTACAGATAGCATGGGCCTATTTATTAAACAAATGGAATATAAATAGGATCCTAAAATTTCTTAAAACAGATTGAACCTATATCAATAGCGAATATATTGCACTTCAATATCTGCCGTCGTATTTCACAGTATTGTGAGATGGTAATGGGCATCGCGGGATTAGGCAAATTCAAAATACTATGTTAAACAATATCTATACAATAATAAAACCTGGATCGGGAAAAGTCTAATAATAAAAATAGAAAACTACATAAATCAAGTGTTATCCTCTGGCAGAGGTTTCTCGCAAGCAACATACGCTATCGATGCACAAGTAGGCAAAGGCGCAACTGTGATTGATAAAATAGAGAAATCAGTGGTCTGTTAACGTACAGTCCTGGATCTAATGAATAATACATTATTTCTAATTGATCGCTACCTAGTGTTCGTTTGTGACAATATCTGGCCAATATAAAGCACGGTTTAATTAATATTTTCCTTAAATGTGATTTTTGCATAGAGTTTGCTCGATGATGATAAGGTACTTGGGCGTAAAAGAAAACTAACGCTTCGGAACTGCCCCCATTATTTCACAGAATATTTTAGGCTCAGTGCTGCCGTTTAGCATTGCTCCAGAGGGTTGCCTTTTACCACGAAACGGATTGTGTCTGTTTTTGGTCTCAAACATACGCCATTTTAGCTACCCTTTAGTACCTAACGTGCTACTGCATCATCATATAATTTACTACGCAGCCCAGTTGCGGAAGCTTAGACGCGTCCATTCGGGGAGCAAACACAAACTGTATACAGTCACTACGTGCAACCTGTTAGCTCTACGACTTGAAGATGTGCATTATTAATAACTGTTGAATGGAAGTTTATAACTGGGGCAGCTAGGAACCTCTATGTTTCGAGTTTTTACGTTCAGCATCGCCGTTAAGAATTCCATCAGACGAAATTTATCTATGCCCGGTTTCGAACCTAGACCTAAGATTATTAGGCAAATTCGTTACCCGCTACGCTGCGGCAGGAATATAAAGGAAGATGGCATGAAACAAAGCGCATTTAAATTATTTATATATTAAAAATAACAGCAATGATTTTAGAACGCTTTTATTGAACTTTATTTTATCAAGTGGTTTAATTGGAATTTCCATGATTAAATGAACGGCCGCAGCAGTGTGTCTATCAGGTAGGAATAAGTTAGACTTGCTGGATTATTCCAGGTAAATAAGCCAAAAAATGGCTACAAGCAACCTGTACTTATATGATGCAACCGCTACCTACCCTAGTTTTATCGACTTGTAAAGGTTGTAGCTGATGATCGAAGAGAAGATGCTGTGGATCTATGTTTATTGGTGACTGCCGTCGGCCTTTCGTGCAAAGATGCCAGTCAGGGTTGAGCAATCCCCAGAAGTCCGGACCTGTTTATTGATAAACGAGTGACAATCAATGTTATTAAAAATTGAAATCGAGTATAATAAGACGGCTTTAGATACGTTAGTAAACATTTTCTTATACCGTTAGAATTAGCTCTTAATAACCCAACTATAGAAAATATTTCGTTTCGAAATTGCTCTCGACTAAATATGAGGCCCTAAAATAATATTAGTATAATTAATTATGTTCAGGAATTTTCCACTTTACCTAACTGTAAATAATCTCATACGCCACTTGATAGCAACGCCCAGTTTTAATGTATTAGGTTTTTTACAATCTTATAACAAACTTATCATAAGGCTGTAAGAGACATGTAGACAATGACATTTATCGATGTTCTAAAGAAATCATACAGACAATCAATCAGTTCATTTTAGATTTGCTATAGACACGAAGTAAAATTTGTGTGATATATCTCTTTGTTTAAAAATAAATTAGTCATTTGAATTTTCGCGCCATCGCATAATTACTTGCCAGTAACGTCTTCCTTGAGAAAAAACCGCAGTTTCGGCTATCCAGAAGCGTAAATGTCACAATAGTCTAATGCAATCTCGACTCTTTCACTAAGAGTTAGATGAGTCTGCGTATAAAGCATTGTGCGATTTTTCTCAAACAAAGCACTAAACTTGCAGTCTTTGTGTTAAAAAAAGAATGTTAAAAAATCAACTGTGCAAATAGCTTTCATTTACGGCCAATTACGCTGAAAACGTGGTAAGAGTGAAACAACTCGAGTACGTTAACCGCCGAATTATCATGAGAGGTCTAGCCGAAGGGACACAGATCTTAACTGGGACATTTTATTTGATTGGGCTTGTAGGCTTCAGAAACATTTCGGCAATGTCCGTGCTGACACATCTGAACGTCAAGCAGGCGACCAGCTGTGAAGATCTGTGTCGAAAAAGCCTTTTAGCACCTTTAAAAGCTAAAGATGCTTTAATACGTCATTAAAGGTAACCAAACGTGAGTCGTCCGTTAGGACGAGAAGACTAAGACGCAATCTTCCGAGTAGCGGTTCAAAAACGAGCCCCGAGCAAAGAAAATCGCACAGAGCCAAGACCTTAGTACTCCTTAAGACTTCTTCCAACCTTCAAGGAATCGTTCATAATGAGTTCATATCATCCAGCTCGATAATCACTAAGGGGTACCGCCAAAAAGTTTTAATAATATCGCCCAAGTATGTTTGACTCAAAAAAACCAGAAGTGGAGCATAGCAAGTGCTGGATTTTCTATCATGACAGTGCACCGTCCCACACTCTCCTACTGGTACGGCGGTTTTTGAAAAATTCCGGATTTATCGTGGTTAGTCCCTGCGACCTTTTTTATTTTCAAAATTGAAACAAAGTGTGAGGGGAAAGCTCTTTGATATAATGGAGGAAATAAACTAGAGATTTTGACTGAGGGCTATCCCGACGGGCGATTTGAAAAGCGTTTCGAGGACTATGGAAAACGGTAGCAGAAGTGTGCTACAACCGGCGAGCGCTGCTTCGCAGGGGACAATTTGAATTTAGAGACATAAATAGATACTGATAAACTTAGAAAGAACGGCTCCTTCATCCTTGAGCAAACGGTTATTAAAAGTAGGAAACCAAACTGTAAGCAGAAACCTAATTTTTTAAAAAATATAGTTATGTCTAGAGTTCTACTTATAGATCGCGGAGTGACGAAACATGGAGAAAATTTGCAAAGTTCTCGTTTTGGAATCTACTCATTTATATGGTGTTATATTATGAAACACAGAAACGGGAAGTATACCTAGACTGCATTTGTCGTAAAAGGCTCGGGCCTTGGCAATACCTTGCGGGTTATACACCGCGGTAGTGTACTACTGGTCTACAATTCGTTGCTAATATCCATGTTTTTCATAAAAAAAAATCTCCTTAGTATACTCGCGGTAATGCTTAATGCGGTACGCCTCACGTATATGCCCAAAGATTTTTTTCTATCACTTCGAATTCATCATTTCGAATTTCAAGAACATTTTTAAGAATTAGAAGGGTTATCGTGTATGTTTGGTGCTTAAAAAAATATCATTGTTTTATGCACAAACTACTTGACTTTGACGTTTCAAACTCAAATAGTTCTCTAGGTTGCTGTCGGAGACTGTCCTAATATTCTTCGCGTATCATAAGTAACCTAGCATGATTATTTACTGCATCAGTACCGTTCTTATTTTTTACGCATCTTTATTTCATTCTGAGCACATACTTGGGTAACTTCTACAGTATCTGGAAATATTTACTTTGAATGACTTTGAGGAAGTTTTATTCTAATTTATTATAAAGCTATGTTCTTTAATAAGCAAAATAAAGTTCACTGTGAAAGCAAAATGATCCAGGTCTCATCTGTAGTACGTGAAACCTAAAATGTTATTAATAATAATTATTATATCATTAATTATTAAAAAATTATAGCTGTTCAGTTTTGGCTAGACAAGAAATTTGTCTCGCTTTGAGAAATTCAATCACCTGGGTATAAGCTTTTCTGAGAATCTTTCTGTTTTGTACCGAGTAACCGCTGCAAAGGTATTTAAAAAGACTACCAAGTAGATATAAAGAAAAGCGAATAGGCTCCATCTCAGCAAAACTAAGGCAGACCAACTAGAATTGTCACGGATGACCGAGAGGAAGCCAAGTTTATTATACCATAACCCCATAAAGACTAACCCAAAATTTAATTAATCGCGGCTGCAGTTCTTTGACACGACGATATTCTAAGCTAGAGATTGTAACCGTACGTTCGTTATAAAGGGCAAATTTACGTCTGGATAGCAGTGGTAATGAATTTTATTGATTAATTTGTAAACTAGACATAATTCGTGATGAAATGATATAGATGACCGTAAGGCATATGTTATATTTGGAGAATTGTTCGGTGCTGGAAAGAGCTAGCTGTCACTTACGGTGTACGCCGGATAAACCCGTATGGTTACATTTGAGTCTGTCTATAATATGTGCCTTGCTAAATTAAATTTTATAATACGTAACGTAGCTTTGTAGCTAAGGCCGACTCTAGGCATATAGAGATAATCAATTCAACATAATTATCCCTATAAAACACTGCTGTAAGTAGGCCACTGTAAGGAATAATAGTAAGCTAGCAGTGAGACGCAAATCGATTTCTATAATCATTTTTAGATAATGATCGCTATTGCCGCTGGGGTAATAATGAAAGCGACTTAAAATTATACGAGGAAGACATACACAACAGCCTTTCATCAATGCTAAGTACACTAGTAGCACTTTAACATTGAGAATGAAACATGCGCAGATAGAATATAGTGTACTTAAAGTTTTCTAGTGGCAGCTTGCTGTTACCCCCCCCCCCCCCCTATTCAAGTGTACTAACTTGTAGTAAGTAGGTTAGAAACGTATCTCTGCCGTCATATCTGGAGTTGGCGTCCTTCTTTTAAACCGTAAGACCGTTATTTGTAATAAAGTAGGATTGGTCGAACAACGATTCACTGAAAACACTGCGCTCTACGATTCCGAACCGTGAAGGACCTTACAAAAGAAGTACGAGCGTTTGCATTGTACGATCTCCAATAGAAACCATTTTTAAAGAAGCATCCAGAAAGAATGTTACTATAGCAACTAACCTCTTTCATTTATCATTATATGATTAGCGGATACTTTAAATGTAAGTCTATGTATGCAAATAAAATCTTTAAATTCGTTGAGAAGATCACTCAGCGTTGTCATATCAGCAGAACCTACAGCCAACGCTGTATGGCATTTAATCTGTAAGGGCCGACTCCAATAAACTAAGGGCCTTCTTATGGAACAACACCCGACGACTACGATGGCCAGTACCTGATTTTGCCACTTCATGTATTTTTTGAATTTTTTTTTTTCTCTCACAGAACGGTAACTATCTATTTTTTTCTTTTCATTTCTATATTACACTTTTCTCATTATACATTGTGAGATCCACAATTTGTAAAAAACTTCGACATGTTTTATACCCATAAATGTGTGTAAAGTCGCTATTTACGCGGAACACGATCTATGTATTAGCATCTATAGCATATTCGTTCATAGGTATTTTAGTAGCATCTTCCCAAGTGCTAAAATCAGTCTGAGTAAACGCATTCTAAGGAACGCCACGTAAGCAAAAACCATATTGAAATTTTTAAGCATTACTAAGGTGCTTACAATTTCATTGTAAAGGATAAATGACAGCGTTTAGTAGTGCTATGGTAAAGTGCATGTAAAGCAACCATGAGGAAAATCACGCGATAATGCAATGCAGGGATTATTGTATAATTACAAGGCCGTTAAGATGGTTGATATTCAATGACCTTAGGTTAAAAACTGTTACGCTGTTTGTGGCGACATCGTTTTGCGATAATTGATGACTCACTAAATATATATTTAGTCGTAAAGGGTCTTCAATGGAAATGCTCAACAGAATTCAATGAAAGAAGAAAATACCTTTAGGTGAAAGTACGATCTCCGGCAGTCAATATTATTCAACATCACGAGATGGATTGACCATACGACAACAGGACTGACGTGTGAAAAAGAAACGATTTGGAAGCTGCATATAGGTCTTGTCGAAAGCTCATTTTCGCGTAAGTGTAGAATTTTGACGAGCAATATATTACTATTTGTCTTATGCCGTTCTGGCATATGAAAACGTTAATTAACGCTTGACGGTTCTTAACTGCCTTCCAGAGGAACGAACAGCGAAAGGCCCTTCCCTCATTCATTTTCAGAATAAGAATGATTTTAGGCATCGTTAGAACTGCTGATCTTACCCGACCGCCCAACTCGACATTCAGAAAGGCTTGACGTGGTTTTTGGTAAGCGTCTTTTTAAAGGACTACCCTGTTTAGGTGTGCCCGGGTTATTATCTCAGCAAATATATTTGATATGATCGGAAAAATTTTGCACAGAATTCAGATGATTCTAAACTATAGCTGAACTTGAGCAACTTGGTCAGGCGACCAAAGTAACTCAAAGCGGCAATCATAGTTTCATTAGTG